CGCCGCGGGCGGCCGTGCTGTCGGGGCCCGGGCCGGCGACGCTGGTGTGCGCCAGCGAAGTGGGGAGCTGGTCGTACTCGCAGCGCCAGAGCCGGAGCCTGTGCGTGGCGGAGGGCGCGGGCAAGAGCGACCTGATGGTTTTCAGCCCCAACTTCCCGCCGCCGCCCGGCCCCACGACAGAAAACGGTTCTGCTGGGAAGGGTCTGTCTGTCTCCCCACTTGCTTCAGGCGCGGTAAGTTTATTCGCAACTGTATTTTTTTCCTCTCTTGGGTAGTTCTATTTACCTGTTACTTTTCATGGACCATCTAATATATTAAAATACCTTTTCTATGGTAATAATTTTGCCATGCGAGTCGTAGCCTTGTATTGCTGTTGGGTGTAGCCATAGTCATCCGTGTTAGACATGTGTGATCGCCTTTTCAAATGTCATTGTTTGACTACCAGAACCCTTCGCAATATTTCTAGGTCTTCTCCCCCCGCCCTTTTTTTTTCTTGCCTAGAACGTTATGGTTAAACGAATTCTTAGCGTTGTAAGATTACTCCCCCCATCTACTACTTGGCGTCAAATGGCGGTGGTAGGTGTTAGCAGATGTTTTATTTCCCTTTTTTTTAGTGCCTTTCAACTTGTGAAAACACCGGGGAGGTGCCCAGAAGTTTGGTAGCTCCCTCAGGATGATTGTAATTAGGGTACAAAGTATGTTTGAAACCAGGTGTGGTTATGCTTGGTGTGATGAATATTGTCTTCATTTGCGCAAGGCTCGCTCGGGTTTTTATTGATTCTGAAGCTCGCGGGTTGGTGGTTCTTAAGAAGCTGAAATACATGGAATGACAGTTATGGGGTGCAGTGAGAGGAAGAAACGTTGGTGAAGGTCGTGAGTACTGTTCTGTCTCTAGAAGTCTGGTGATAACGTGGGGGAAAGTGGAGTGAGATACAGGATGCTTCATGAAGAAGTGGAGAACTGTTTGAGGGAGGGCGTGCTCCCCGGCCTCCCTGCACCTCTCTCCACGACCTGATCCCGCTCTCTTTGTAGTGTTGTGGCTTCCATTCTACCTCATTCAACCCAGAAGTGTGCTGTGGAAAGTTGAGTCGAAAGTTGGTCAGAGTCGAGAGAGGGAGGAAGACTGGTTAAGGCAAAAGTAGAAGGGAGAGCTTGTCTATGCAGTATTGAATAGTCTAGAGATTGGTGGGTTAAAAACTTTTGGTTCTCCTAGCAGTAGAGCAGAAGAAACAGGGAAACACAGATTCAGCTAGAAAGAAGGTTTCGATGCTGGTTTCCACATCGATTTCCCTGTGTGGAGAGTGATTGCTTAATTACCGGGTTCTTTTACCACTGTCATCGAAGCAGATCAGCTGATCCTGGCCATGCACTGAATCGACTCTGTTCTCATTGACACCAGCTCCAAAGTACTCTTTGAGATGAGATGTTAGGGTCATGTTTAGTGTTCCTTGTTCGATGTTAGAAACGGGATATAACTTCTACAGGGAAAAGCGAAGATCTCTTAATTCTGATTTAGTTTGCGTTATATCAGCATAAAAACCGAAGTCTGTAGGGCTGCCGGGGTAGTAAGAACAAGCAGTACTTATATATCATTCTTTTTCATGTTATGCATTCAATTCGCCAGAGACACCTGTTTGGATAACTACTATAGTTTTATGGCAAAGGGTTATCTGTAATGTAGTATATTTCTTCTGAGAACGTACATTTCGTTGGGGTTTGTACGAATAGAAGCGTTATAGACAAAGGACGCAGACTAAAAAATTAAAATCGCAGGGTATTGGTTCCAAATTGACAAGAATGGTGCTTAAAGGTGTACCGAAAACCAGTAAAGAAAGTTGAAAACTTCATGTCCGTTTTGAAAAAATCGTAGGAGTGGGTTTTCTCCCCTGATCCATAGAAAAATGTGAGCATGTCCCACGAATTTCTCTTTCCTTCCTGCATCTATCTTAGGTCACTTAGTAACGGCTTTACGTTTGAGTTCTTTGTGTATTTGCTGGGGTTTGTGTTTCTAGTCTCCTTTGATCATGTCCGATAGCTGATGTGCTTAAGGGGAGTGGGTTATCACCTCTTAAGTATGCGTGAGCTACCTTCACGTGTGAGTAGCAAGGCTTAGCCCAGAGCTGTAGAGCTGTCGTTTTCTTTCCTTAATTCCCATGGATGTGATGGAAGGCAGGAACAGCAAACCGCGATCTCCTAAATGAGAAGCTTCTGGTTAAATTTATAAGAAGGTTTAACTAATTCTGTAGAAGAGGATGGAAAACCACAGCACTTGCGCACGGGTGTGGGAAGCAAATCGTTTCCTTGGGCTATGATTAAGGGCGATGTGGAGCCTCTTTAATGCCGATTGTTTGGGGCAGGGGAGGCTTTGGCTCCAGTACGGTTTCTCTTGGTTTCTCTGCAGTAACGAATTGAAGATCTGAACGGATTTATTATAGACGTACACTGTCAGGAAGTATCTCAGCATTTCTTTTAGAAACAAAGCGATCTCAACTTTAGAAACAGAGCTCGTGGATGCTTTTACTTCGTAGCATAGTCTGGCCAGGAGTCGTTAACAGAACGCGCTAGAACATCCTGTCAGTGTCACGAATAAAAGGAACAACTTCACGCAGGGTTGTCAGTCGCTGCAAACCGAGACTTTCATTCCCGCTGCATATTGTTTTGCGGAATGATTGCTGATTAACAGCCATGTTACCAGGCAAAATGCAATCGTGGCTGCTGAGGCAGGGCTCGCAGCCGGGTGCGCTGCAGAGCGCTGCAGCGGGCGGCTCTGGGAGCGGGAGGGGCGATGCAGCAGCGGCTGCAGCTCCCGCACCGCCGTGGTGGCCGGAGGCTGTTTTGCAGCCTGAGAACTAGGAATTTTACAGGCGGGGAAATACCTGGCACGCTGCCGGAGGAGTTGCGAGAGACGCCGGGTGTTGGGCTCGGAGCTGCTCTGCCGCACGAGCGGGACTGGTCTCCCGTACCCGCTGTCGCGGGTGTCCCCCCTCGCTGGGCAGCTTCCGCCAAGCCCGGTGGTCTCTGACTGGGGGTAAATAGACCGATCTATGTCCTCGCGTTCAAGCGGCGAGTTCTCGCCTGCGATATACCGAATAGCACGTCGTGAGTCTGTATTTCTGTGGCTTGATGTGGCTAATGAGGATTTTCGTGGGCTTCGCTGAAATCTCGAAATCCTCTGCCTACGAGATTGTTCTCCCAGGCTCCTTTTAGTCATCTCCGCTCCTGCTGTCCCCACGTAGCGGCTGCGAGCTCCCGTGGCTTGTCGAAAGGGCATCCTGACATCGCTGCCTCTCCTTGCCTTGCCTCTGCGGAGGGGGCGGGGCGGATCGGAGCTGCGGGAACAACAGCGCATCAGCCCGGCGCTGCGGCCAACAGCAGAGCTGCTCTGCCCTCTCCTTTCGCCGGGGTGGGCGCAGGGCTGAGTGAGCCCGCGGGGAAAAGGGCGGGGGTCCCACGGGGGACAGCTCACGCGGGGGACAGCATGGCCTACCTGCCACGCTGGGTCCCGAGCGGGAGAAGCCTGGTGTTTCTGGTCGCTGGGGGTATCGCCGTCCTTGCACTCATCTCTGCCCGGGGAGCCCGCACACGAAAGGCGATAGCGGGGTCCCTGCACCTCCGTCGGCGGCTCCGCGCTGGCGACTTGGGCTCGGTCCGAGGAGGAGCTCCGGTCTTCCTCAGTCCGCGGGCAGATCCTATTTACTGTGGGGCTGCCGTCAGTGTACGAGCTTTTCACGTGCTTCTTTCCGGGTGGAGATGAGGGCTGGGGCTGCCGGTGGGTCCGGGGACAGCGGCCACCGCGGAGAGCTCATCGGTTCCCCTCGGAGGAGAAACCGCAGGGCTGTCGCTCCGTCTCCTCCCCCGAACGGATTCAGCCCCTTCTGCTGCCTCCCGCTGAAGCGCTGTGTCCTAATTTAACACGACTGGGCGCCCCTCCGTTCTGGTGGGCGCCCCTGGGATTCTCCCAAGCCTCGATACCGAGCGGGACGTATCCTGCAAACCTCTGCCGAAGGCACCGCTCGGCGTCTGCACCGCCTCTGATGCGTTGCCCGCGGAAACGGCGCCTTAAAATCATCGCTGACGTAGACGATGATGTTGAAACACGAGCGGCTCTTCGAGTGGTGCAGCCGTGTGCTCCACAGCCCCGAGGTAACCCAGTTTTGCTACTCACCTTTATTTTTTTCGCCTTTGCTCCCTTAACGGTTTCTTCTGGCTACTACCATTGTTCTGAGTGCAACATGCACGGCTGGACTAATGACGTCTCATTGCCGAAAAAGGGGATGATTGGCTGAAAATATAAGACGGGGCAGGAGAAGGAGTACGTAAGGGATGCTCCGGGCTCTGAGGCGGTGTAAATGCAGCACTGCAACAGCCCGTCGGGCAGAGAGGAGGAGCTCTGTGAGCATGTCGGGGAGCAGGAGATGATGAGAGGGGTTGTGTAGCGGTGGGTGACACCGTGGAGGTCCTGCACCATGCCCTCAGGATCGCAAAAAGTTGAATTTCTCGGTGACTCGGGTCAAACCGGCTTTAAGAATGGGTCAAGCTGAGGGAAGGGAATAGGGAACGGTTTGGAGATGGCAAATTGAAGGCGAACGTGAGTTCAAAGACGAGGGGTTTTAAACAGTGGTTACATTATCTGCTGTGATACCAAGTGAAGTGTCTACATTAAAGGTGTTTAATACCCTAATTACGTTATCTGCACATCAGTCGTAAGTAACTTGAGATGAAGAGGAGATCTTTGAGATTGGAGACCTTGAAAAGAAGGGTTGGGTGGAATGGTGGCCAAACAAGAGTGAGAGTGGAGAAACTGAGTGTAAAGGCACCCTTGAGACCCCCAGGGCAGCTGGATATGGGAGGTAGAGCACAAACAGGCAGGGAGGAAGGGGCCTGGGACTCTGCCGAACAAAGCGGTGGCTTCACACACAGGGCAAGGCTGGATTCTGCCCCCCATGGCACAATGGTGTTACTCCCTTCATGGCAGGAGTGGCTGTAGCGTAACCAGCCCTGGATATTTAATAGTACTAAGCACTGGATTTTGGCCAAGGCCCAGAGCCGTCTACCTGAGCAGTGTGTGGAGCAGGTGCTCTTCCAGGCTGGACTAGGAACGCAGTGTGGTAGGAGCTGGGTGTTGAGATGGTGCCAGCAACATGGGTGTTCCAGTGAGCAAAGCTGCCTGACTGTCCACTGCAGACTGTGGAAAAGGAGAGTAAGGCAAGCGATGCCAAAATACTAAAGTAGGGTTGTAAGGTTTAAAAATGTTGCTAAAAAGAAAGAGGATCAAAGGCAAATTCCCTTAGAGCCCTGTAAACAAGCATTAGACAATGCTACAAAATTAAAGAGATGTAGCAGAAAGCTGAAGAAGTTATTTTGGATTGTAAATGAGTAGTAAATAAGTGAATGTGGTGGGTTGACCCTGGCTGGACATGAGGTGCCCACCAAAGCCCTTCTATCACCCCCCTCCCCTCAGCTGGATAGGGGAGAGAAAATATAACAAAGGGCTTGTGGGTCGAGATAAGGACAGGGAGAGATCACTCAACCAATTGCTGTCACGGGCAAAACAGACTCAACCTGGGGGAAACTAACTTAATTTATTGTCAATCAATGAGAGTAGGGTAATGAGAAATAAAACCAAATCTCAGAACACCTTCCCTCCACCCCTCCCTTCTTCCCGGGCATAACTTCACTTCTGGATTCTCTACTTACCCCCGCAGTGGCACAGAGAATGGGGGTTATGGTCAGTTCATCACATGTTGTCTCTGCTGCTTCATCCTCTTCAGGGACAAGACTCATCACATGCTTCCCCTGCTGCAATGTGGGGTCCCTCCCATGTGAGACAGCCCTCTACCAACTTCTCCAATATGGGTCCTTCCCACAGCCTGCAGTTCTTCATGAACTGCTCCAGCATGGGTCCCTTCCATGGCGTGCAGTCCTTCAGGAGCACACTGCTCCAGCGTGCGTCCCCCACAGGGTCACAAGTCATGCCAGAAAACCTGCTCCGTGGGCTCCTCTCTCCATGGGGCCACAGGTCCTGCCAGGAGCCTGCTCCAACGTGGGCTTCCCGTGGGTTCACAGCCTCCTTTGGGCACCCACCTGCTCTGGCGTGAGGTCCTCCACAGGCTGCAGGGGGACAACCTGCCTCACCATGGTCTTCACCACAGGCTGCAGGGCAATCTCTGCTCCGGTGCCTGGAGCATCTCCTCCCCCTCCTTCCTCACTGACCTTGGTGTCTGCAGGGTTGTTTCTCTTGCATGTTCTCACTCTGCTCTTCAGCTGCCATTTCTGTGTGCCCTGCAACTTTTTTTCCTTCTTAAATATATTATCACAGAGGCGCTACCACTATCACTGATGGACTTGGCCTTGGCCGGTGGTGGGTCCATCTTAGAGCCGGCTGGTATTGGCTCTGTCAGACATAGGGGAAGCTTCCAGCAGCTTCTCACAGAAGCCACCCCTGTAACCCCCCCCACTACCAAAACCTTGCCACACAAACCCAATACAGTGAATTAAAGGCAAAATTGGTGTAGGCTGCCAGGTAATTCTCAAAAGGTGAGTACATCTTGGAAAGAGGCAAATGTACAATTACTTTGATTGATTTTGGCTGTTGTTAGTTAATCAGTTTCTGCTAGCACTGCTGGTATTTCAGGCGCTGGAATGCATAACCACCGCTTGTTATTCCAATATTAAGATTTAAAGAAAATCTACCTTTGAGTGGGTTCGTCTGTTCAACAGGAGGATCTTGGGCCCCAAATTCTTGGGTTTCTTTGTTGCAAACCCAGCCACAGACAGGTGAATAGTCTGTGTGTTTTACCTGTGTGTGCACCTGGGACACCAACACCCGGCTGCCCAAGTCTTCCCAGACAGATGGATTTATCTTTGCCACAGGCCAATGTTAAGGGAAATTTATCAGTCTTTCCTGTGACTTTAATAGGTGTTATTGCATTGCTTCTGGGTGTTTATAATGACTGCGCATCACTACAGAGCAGTAAAACTAGCAACTTTTTCATATATTGTAGATGACATCATATCTTGGCACAAGGGGAGTCTAGGGCTAATTTGGGGTGGAGGGAGTCTGGATGACAATTTTATGATGACTAAGTGGGAATTGGGGATTTCTGCAGTAAGCAATCAAGGAAAAACCAAACCAAAACAAACCAACCCCAAGGTAAACAGCGTACCATAAATACTTACATTGTATACTGTGTGCAATGGTGCATTGAACAAATTTATGTAGTGTGTGAATTAAGGTGGATGCACACCAGCTGCGCAGCTCCTGCA